ACTGGCGACGGCCGACAATATGGAAGCAAATGCCTATGGCGATAAAGAAAGTATAAGAGAACATAAAATCTTTAAAAATGCTAGCTGCTAAAAGTACCTGCCCTTCCATAAAACTTTTGACATTTTCAGCAGGTAGCCGGGCGACAATATTTAAGATTGCACTTTGGTTCCAAGCACTGGCAACTAAAAAGTTCTATCAAATGAAACAATTACTATTTATCAGCACTGCAGAGCATAATGTGAGCACCAAGAAAAGATATTGGTCTAAACAAAAACTAATTAGCAACATTTATATTACCCAAATATACTTTGGCTAGTGTTGTTGTAAATATGAACACAGAAATAACGATTCCCGAACTCATATAAAATAAAATAAAGGGAGAAATACTAAGCGATAAGTCAAAAACATCTTACAATTTTAAAAGGATCAAATTAAGTATGCTGCACAACGCGAAGGGGACGAGAGAACAAATAGTCAAGTAATTCATAAAATGTAACTGATAATCGTTGAGGAACTGAGGATCTATCCAAGAACTGTTATCAGTGGAATTCCTAAGCTGATACTGGAAATACTGGATTCATATAAGAAATATAATAAAACTAACAGATTTTGCTGCAATGAAGAAATTCCAGGGCAAGAGGGCACCGACGCCAACGAGAAAACAGGTTAAACGTACCACCATCCATCTAAGTAATAACAATAAATTAATAAGCATTACCTGTCCCTAGGAATAGTTATAGGAGTAAAATCATCAGTAAATCTTTTATGCGTTCTCCTGTCACCCATAATAGGAGGTAGGGCCTAGGACCACATGATAGATTAACCCGAGCGGGCGTCAGAAAAGCGTAGTCGTATACAAAATTATATTTCAGTATATCTGAGATTGTGTAAAATAACAATATATGCAAATATTTACATGGTATCCAATAAAATTATTTTAATTTGTCCAACCGCTTTCTTGGTTTTAGTGATGGACCTAACTAGACCACCTGCTCTTCTCCGCCAAATTGGGATGTACACTAAGTGTGCGCATGAACATGAATCAAGGGATCCCATTATTTCATATTATTGTAAATATTACCTGCCTTGCTTACTCATCCAGGCCGTTTATACGCAGCCCAAAAAGGGATGGAGTTAGACAAAAAGTCCCCTGAATCTAAAGCTTTCCTGAATGCATTGATGGATAATCTCGATGTCTTAAAAGAAAAGCATAAAAACAGCGAAGCAATTATCAGCGATACGGTTGGGCAGGCGCATATAGAGCAATATGCACTGAAGCTGCTGGATTTTGCTTACAAAAAAGATATGTCCGAGGACTTCGGGCCGTAATTAAGTCAATGTTTTTATTGGCACATAATTAGTTCCACTATTAAGTCATTTTATACTGCTGGTATCTTATTGGACGTCGCAGGACTCTTCGGCGAAGTTGGAGATGAGGTCTATTACTCTTTCTTATCTCTTTAGATTGAAAAGGCTAGAAAATATGCGAAATGGAAAGCAATATATATAACCCAATGCCTAAAAAATGGTGAACAGCCTGTCTCAGGGCCCTTGACAGGCGAAGGTGCTGCAGAAGCTCCAGGTGAATTG